CGGCCGCGCGACTGCGAGACTGCGAGAATTTGAGACTGCGATGCAGGTTGCTAACAGCCCCACCACAGACGACCTTCGTCAAGCGCCATTTGACCGGAGAGTTCGAGAAGAAGTACATCGCGACGCTCGGAGTAGAGGTCCACCCCCTCGGCTTCACCACAGTACGTTATCCGACCCTCTGCCGCCCGCGACACGCCTGCTAACGAGACGACAGAACCTCGGCCAGATCCAGTTCGACGTCTGGGACACCGCCGGCCAGGAGAAGTTTGGTGGTCTCCGCGATGGATACTACATCAACGGACAGTGCGGTATCATCATGTTCGACGTCACCTCGCGTATCACATACAAGAACGTCCCCAACTGGCACCGTACGTGCGCCCACAACCCCCCGATACGCATTCGCTAACAGCCCCAGGTGACTTGGTCCGTGTCTGCGAGAACATCCCCATCGTCCTCACCGGCAACAAGGTCGACGTCAAGGAGCGCAAGGTCAAGGCAAAGTCCATCACCTTCCACCGAAAGAAGAACCTCCAGTACTACGACATCTCCGCCAAGTCCAACTACAACTTCGAGAAGCCCTTCCTCTGGCTCGCCCGGAAACTCGTCGGCAACCAGTCTCTCGACTTTGTCGCCGCCCCCGCTCTGGCGCCTCCCGAGGTCCAGGTCGACCAGGCCGTTCTCGACCAGTACCGACAGGAGATGGAGAACGCCGCCCAGATGCCTCTGCCCGATGAGGACGACGCCGATTTGTAGATACGGTCATGAGCTTGCTCTAGGCCACGGCTAGGGCTCTAATGGGTATACGACATGGACGAGATTTAGTGGAATGGGACAACGGATATGCAGCTCGAGAATTGAGGACATTCTTGGCGAAAACGGGGCATGCGGAGGAGGACTGGCGGAAGTATCCGACTGGAAGCGCTGGACTAGCCGGCGTTTCGACGAATGAACAATAGACTGTTCCTGATCAACCAGACTGGTGTTAATTGTGATGGAGAAAGCTTTTCGATTCTACTATTAACACGCTCAAGGGCGTTGCGACTACTACTACAACAGCACATTTCATATCCTCATTATATTCCAACTCCGCTTGCTCGGACTTTTCAATGGAATGCGCCGCCCACCGCCCAGACACGATAGAAGAAATGACGCGTGATGTCAGTATGCTCATAATACGGACAAGCAGAGTCGCATAATAGCGAATCAAAGCGACGACCGAAAAATTGACAAGTAGAAGGCTCGCTCGCTCGCTCGCTGTGGTCATGACACGACCGTTTTTGACGCGCGCGACGGAGACAACAAAGACATGAAATGATTACAACGCGCAAGTAAACAAGGACGATGCGAGACATAACGAAAGCGAAAAGACGACAAGGCACGTCTACGATTTCAGCATCCTGCGATAATGTTAGCCCAAGCCCAAACACAGCAAGCAAGTGTAGAAAAAGATCGAATACTCACGGAGCGATCAACTGCGCATACTGCTGCTGTGGCACACTCCTCCCCTCCTCAATAACACCCCTAATAACATCATCCTGCTGCAGATTGCTCCAAAGATGTATACTCATCGCCTTCTTACTATTAAACAGCGTGTGCGCCACACCCCTTACCTGCCCCAGCACCACATTCGCAATCGGCCATGTATTGCTATATTGCTGCAGCGTGCCGACATCGAGCCGAATGCTCTGCTTGATAATGTCGTCCTGGCCGTCGGGGACGAGGAAGGACCAGTAGGAGAGGTGCACGACGGACGCCATTACGACGACGCAGGTGAAGAAGGGGGTGTGGTAAAGCAGGGGTCCGGGCAGCCGGATGAGCGAGGAGATGTTTTCGGCGGACGTGAGGCACTTCGCAGTGTGGATTTCGCGGGTTTGCGTGGGAAGCAGGACCTGCCCGGGTTGCACGCATATGTTTACGCCTTCGACGCGGCCGAAACCGAGGTTGCTGCGCGGGCGGTGCAGCATTATTGTGCTGCCGGCGTTTACCATGTGGGCCTGGAAGAGCACTTCGTCGATGTGGCCGTCGTTGGAGACGATGTCTGTTTTTGAGGCCGGGAGGTGTAAGCGCCAGTTGCACAGGTATTGGTCTACGACGTCGACGGCGTGGTATTCGAAGGTGGAGTCTAGGCGCGCGCATTCGAAGACTTTTCCCAAGATGCGGATGGCGTCGATGAGGTAGGTGAAGGAGGAGAAGGTTGTGAAGTGGGGGAGGAAGGCCGAGTCGTCGTAGTCGGAGAGGGTGGAGGGGTAGGGTATTTGCTGTTTGTGGGTTGTTAGTTTAGTGATCTGTATAAGGTTTTGTGTTTGTAGTCCCAGGAGGATGGCTACCCCCACCCCACATGTATGACATGCATCGATCTGCCATCGGAGTATGACATGCAGTCAGATGATCTCATCTCGAGTACCTAAGAGCGGCACGGGTTCGCACTAAGAAGGGAAACATGCCAAGCCGATTTGACACATGTCAGATCTGATGTCAGGGGACTGGGTACTTACACCTGAAAAGTACTCGACGTTCTCACATGGCAGTGGCACGTCGGTTACGACGTCTTTCAGTCGGAATTGCACGCCGGGGTTAACGGCGGTCATCATGCCGTTGGCCGTGAACATGGACCACCATGTTCTCCGCCAACTTTCTTCCAGCTGCGGGTCGTTTTCTCCGTGCATCAGCGCGAATTCCATACGGTTGAGCCCAATCTCCAGCGTTAGGTTTTGGGCTATGGTGAAGATCTGGGCGGCGCGGGGGACTTCGTTGTGGGCGTGGAGGCCGATGGCGAAGAGGAGCAGGGCTTGGACCGACCACGCATCTCTTGGGTAGTTGTTGCTGTCTATCTGACGGTCTAACGCTTCCTTGTACATGGCCGTAGGCACCGACGGTATGTAGCTGGATCCGATGAAATGCACGGCATGTTCCAAGAGTGGGGCATGTCGTTCCTTGAAGAGTTCCACTAACCGCCGTTCCGGAAGGCAGAATGGATGTGAGTTGTAGAAGAAGTGGTAGAAGGCCTGCACAGCCGTCTCGGGTCCCAAGTGGCCAAACCGGTTCAGACGCGCGGATCCATTTAGGTTGAGTTGAGCAACTGGTGGGGCTACAGGTCGGACGCCAAGACCGTGAGTTGGGCTGAGCTGGTTCATGCCAGCATCGCCGTTGTACGAGTACTCAGGTGACGAGATGTGGCCATTGCTGGCTTGGACTTCAGATGCAGATATTCCTAATCACGTTAGATTTTGGGTTGATATTGTCGTCGTTGCGATATACCCACCATTCGGGGTCGTGGACGCGCCCGTGTCGTCCTTGGTTTTCCGCTTGCCCTTCCAGCCTCTTCGCGACTTGATGTAGGTACATTCCACGTTGTCGGTCCTACATCGGGAACATCGCACACCACCGTCGCATTTCAAGTGTCTACTGCGACATGGGACGCACGCGACAGCGACCGAGGCCCTGGTTTGGTCGTTATTTGACTGCTTCTGGCTGTTCTTCTGGCCGGTTCCCTTGCTGCCGCCGCTGTCCGACTGGGGCGTTTGCGCCGGGGGAGTCCCGCCATTGATGCTGCTCTGGGTGGTGATACTCTGTGTCGGCGACAAATGGAGCCCTAGCGAGGGCGACAATGGCGATGTGGAGTCCGGTGAGAAGTCCTGGTGGCCGCCCCAGTAAGTGGGATCTACGCCAGCCGAGATGTTCGAAGGAGCGCCGTTCATGTGTTGCCCCGGCATCGCCATGGCAGAGGGAGGCATCGCAACAGAACGGTCTACGCGCAGGCGATTCAGAATCCACGGTATCCAGGTCGGCGTGGGCTTTGCGACTGTGCGTAGGTAGAGACGTTGAGGTTGCAACGGGTGCGGGCTGCTAGTACTGTTGACCCGGCACGTGACGCCCGTCTACTCGGCCTAGCGCTGAAATCGCCAAAAGCTTCCGAAGCCTCCTTCCATCTTGCACCCAATCGGCCGTCTCCGCCCAACTCAAGACGCCAACCGCAGGACGCAAGGAGAGCCTCAGCCTCTTTGTTGTCGGCCCCTATGTGATCGTCGCCCCATTCAGCTCAGGACAGCATCTTCTGTGCAACTCCATCGTACCGTCAACCTGGCCGGCCTGCCCCGTTGCCCTTTTGACGCACCGTTGGATCCTGCCGTCGCCTGTACTTCGCTTGTACCGCTTCAACGCAAGCCGGCCGGGACTGAAACGCACAGTGGGCGAATCGGAACTAACGAGCTGTCTCCACGGCACTGCCGTCGTCCATTACTGGGCCGTTTGCGCGCATTCCCGTCACCGCCGTATCGCTAGCCTGGATTCCGCCTTCGCTTTTGCCATTTTATCGTGGGGTTAGTGGTTCTGCGCACGTTCGGCGGAAAGGGTTGAGTGTAGCGAGCCAGCTGAAGTAGTCGCCTCGCCACATGCTCTTACACGTTCCATTGGACTGTCTTAGTCACGGAAATGGTACCGCGCCTGCGACCGTAGCAGCACAGTGTGCCTCTAAGATTTCGGCTCGATGCAACCTGGCCTTGGCTATCTATGCTGCCACAGCCTTATCTGATACCAGCGATGAACCCACACACACGACGCCAAAAAGCAATCCAGCGTTCGTCTCGATTGGCCAAATTTGGGCTGTCTAGGCGCTGAACGCATATGAAAGGAGGCGTACCTGCGCGTTGCCTCTAAGCCTCGTCGACTCTCCACTAGGTTTCGCTCATTACTAGGTCTCGCTCATTACTAGGTCTCGCTCATTTCCGTGATCTGGCTACGACGTCCTGGAAACTATCAGCCATGCAGCTACTTTACGCGACAATGAAAAGTGGGCAATGATCAAGCTTGCACTGGTCGTTCAGTGAGAATTCATGGGAAATTGGGTATTAAATTTTAGTCCATGAAATGCTCGAGCACTGCGAGCTAACCATCCATGATCTATCTTGCTGCTCACAAGAGAAGAAATGCCGCTGATGCTAGGATATGCAGGGAAAGGATGATGAAGGAAACCGTGCAGGGCCACTCAGCACGCCCTTTGTCTACGACTCTACACACCTAGCTTTAGTGAAGTTCCATACGTCACCGGAACAGTCATTCAAAGACCTCTCAGCCCTCCACTGCAGCTCGGTCTCTGCTCGTCGCACCTCCGCCACGCAGAAGCCAACATCTCCAGCCCTGCGGCCGACTTCCCTGACGGGAATCTTCCGTTGTGATGCGTCCTCTAAACTCTGGAGTACCTCACGGACAGTATGTCCTCGTCCCGTACCTGAGTCGAAGTCAGTACACAGACCTTAGTGTGAGACGTTCTCATATAAGGCCTCCACTTACCAAGGTTGTACGTGCGAAATGGTGCTAAAGTACGACCGGCCGTCGAAGCTGCCAAAGCCGCAATATGGCCCCGAGCCAGATCGACGACGTGGATGAAGTCCCGCACTGCCGTGCCGTCTGGGGTGTTCCAATCTGTGCCGAAGATGTCCAGCACTGGCTTTGTCCCTGTCAGGACTGTTGCGATAACTGGAATCAGATTGCTCGGTTTCTGTCGAGGATCTTCACCCAGAATACCAGACTCGTGGCAACCAACCTGGAGTTGTTAGACACGTCTCATACGTACCCTGATCATCGAATGTACTTACCGGGTTGAAGTACCGTAGGGCGGTTATGGACCATGTGGGGTCGGAAAGCGCAAGGTCTGCCAGAATGGACTCGCACATGAACTTGGACCGACCATACGGTGATGTGAGGCCCAGAACGCCCGGCAAAACTCGGCGTTCTGCTCCGTCGCTGTCCAAGAAAGATTCTGGGTGATGCACGCACAGTTCTTCGCGCAGAGGTAGCCCGCAATTAGCACCCTCGCCATAGACTGTTGCAGAAGAGGAGAACACGAAGTTCTTGATGCCAAAATCCTCTAGCAACCCCAGAAAGTCGACCAGCCCGCAGACGTTGTTGCTGTAGTATCTTAACGGCATCCGGATGCTCTCTTCAACCGACTTGTACGCCGCGAAATGGATAACGCCGGATATTCTGGACAGTCTTTCAACGACAGGTTCTTGCGCGTCGTCCATATCCATGTCGATACCGGAGTCTGTTCGCTGCAAAGTCGAGTATGGGAATCGTGCTGGCGTAGGCGCTGGCTTGCTGATGATCGAATACGATGAGTAGCTGGCCAGTACCGTCTTCATGTGTGCACTCCTGTAATCCAGCTGACGGAAGTGCAACGCTGGCATTCGTCGCCCATGCGCCGTGCAGAAGTCAATCGCAAGACCCCGCACCCTGTTCAGGACGGTTTCGTACGAGTTACTCAAGTCATCGATGACCAGCACGTTGTAGCCTTCTTTGAGCAACTCCAATACGGTATGCGAGCCGATGTATCCCAGCCCACCGACGACCATGATGAAGGTCGACGTGGATCCATCGATGTTCAGAGGATCCGCTACTACATCGTCGTCGAATAGCACCGATCGCTGTGTTCCCGGTGTATTGAGTACTTCCGGTGTGACGGAGGGCGATAGCGAATACGTCGAAGAGGATGACGACATCTTGCACAATTATGCTTGGCGAATGAACGAATGTATGGAAGAAGAGCGAGTGCGTTGATTGTTACGGCGCTACCTTTCTCGATACGTCCGAAATTCTTTATACGCGCCACAACTCTCAACAACAGCCTCAAATCACGAGCAATTAGGCAGAAGACATCGAAGTCAGACTTTTCCTGCGCCGTCAATATTGTTTACATTGCTTGGCACAATGCGGCCTCTTCATCCCGACTCATCAGTTTCGGAGTCTCCTCAGGTCTAGCACTCTCAAAATATACTCTCGCATCGCTAACGATCCCTGTCCAATCTGCATAGCCAAGTGCGCAATACGTACCCGTGTGGTTGCATTGCCGCGTCCTCTAATCTCTCAAAATACCATCATCTGGGCCGTCAGAGATTCAACGTGGGCATACTGCGAGGCTTCGTTCGACTACTCGATCCCGGCATCTGTCAGCGTCTTCTTGGTGCCCAAACACACCCTAAGGATATCCATTACATGTTTGCGTTCGTCAGTATCCGTAAGCTGTGTTTCTCCAGATCTTACCCTCTATCGGCTCATCTCCGTTTGGGCCAGCGTCTCGTCATCGGCTCCTAGCCTGCCGTGCTCAAAGCAGAGTCATGGACGGACTCAGCTCCGTAATTGTTCCGCTCTACGTCTACCCCTCAGCAGGCGCGTGGGATCCGTTTCACGATGTGTACGATACGGTACCTCTACTATTGTCGCTACTCATCCGTACCGGGACTAACGACATGTACTACTTCCAGAGCATCATCGTTCCCTCGTGTACACTTTACAGTCGTGGTCAATGTGCATAACGGGCCAGGAGAGGGTGCACTACCGAACGCAGAATATACCGCAGCCATCGAGGCCCTCAACTCGCTCAGTAATGTACGCACTATCGGCTATGTGGCAACCACGTGGTGTACCAGGGACTTGAGTTCTGTGCTGGATGACATTGCTGCGTTTTCATTCTGGGGCGAATATGATTCCTCACTGGCTCTGAGTGGTGTCTTCGTTGATGAGACGCCTACCCAATACTCTACAGACTATGCCGTGTATCTCGATAGCATCGCTCAAGCTGTTCAAGACAGCACCGGACTAAAGGACGACTATATTGGTAAGCTCAGCCCGTCTTCTTCTGTATTGAAAGTAAGACCGTCACCGAAGCCGGCTTTCGAGGCCCCTGTCGTGTTGCTGTACACTTTACCATGCGTCCTCAAATGGGTCTCTTTCTACTGCAGGCGAAAAGAACCATCATTGTCCAACTCCGGCAGTTACATGAGCGTAAGGCTGACACTGCACTATAGTTCACAACCCTGGCGCTCTTCCAGAGCCTCGTTACTTTGATGAGACATTGTTCACTGGGCCGGACTTGAGCGTTGTTTTCGAGAACTCATTTTCCAATTGGACGACTGAAAGTGGCGATCTCTTCAAGGCGACGGGTTCATATGATCGCGAAAAGCTTGCGCTGCTTGTGCACTCCACACCGGATTTGTCGATTCTTGAGACCGCTAGTACGCTATTGCAATTACTAGCCGTAGGCCGCGGCATCTGGTTAACAGGTAGCTCGAACTATACCGAGCTCGACGGTGTGCTACCTGCGTTTATCGAAGGCTTGGATGCGCTGTTGAGTTGAGGGTCACAGCCTTGGAACTGAATGATGTAGATATCAGGTCATCGATCGCTTAATCCACGCAAGACACCCACGTCTTCGACAGTTGTCCTTTCTGTGTCAGTCTCAACTACTTCATCGGCTACGAGCACTTATGCGGCAAGCCTTAATCACTTGACTACACTGTCTAGAGACCTGGGGCTGAGTGATCCTGATCTTCGGATTGAAGCTGGCATGCAGAAGGAAAGGATCTTCTGGTCACGACTGCTTCGTACTACCGTGGCTTTCTCAACAGCGAGCCGGCTAATGCGCCGTGACGAGGCGTGTCAAGAGCGGTCCGCGATGTAAGAAGTCCTTCCGTGACACAAGCGGTCCGCCACTCCGTCGGTTGAATCCGAGGAAAGCTTACGAGAAATTATCCCAGCTACACAATGCCGTCTTCAAACAAGCAACGATCATCGAAAAACCCGCCTTCAAATTTTCGACTACCAAGTATTCATCTGGTTGGCTCTAATATTACCCCGAGAGCTCCCCTGTTTGCCGCTTTAGGCGGCAGATCTAGCTCACTCAACCCCTGCGCGTTTCCCCGGATCAAACAAACAAGCCTTTCGTCCTGCACTAGAGCTGCATACACACTTTATTTCAACCTTGGCCTTCATTTCGAAATTCAATCTCTGCTGCGTACCGCGTCGGCCCATGTCTATTTGTGCATCTTCCCAAGCGATGCTCCAGGCTTCGATATTGACACTTTCCTTGATGTATGTCATCCTTGGATGAGCACCGGAGTTACTTCGCGACGTGATGGAGACCAAGTACCGGCGGCTCTGCGAAGACATACAATGAACGTGCTGCATGGATAGGTGTAGAGGGCCGAAGTCGTGCCGCCATGACTGCTACCTCGCGGCCTGTCGCGCTCCTCCGCATCATGCTTCTAACCTTCGCTTACAGCATACTGTGCAGGTTTCTCGTTCCACATGAACCTCTCTAGCTGCATTCAAAGGATGCGTCCGTTGCGCTTCCGTTCGGTTGGGTCTGGAAGCGAGATGCCAACTTTCGGATCACACCACAAGCAACACGAGGTCAACAACACGAAGCAAACCTCATCCAAGATAGCTCTTGACACGTATGGCTATTTACAGCCATTCGTCCTGCCAGTTCGCTAGGCCTTCACAGGTAGAGAACAAAACACGATGAGACGACGCCATTGCGCGTGATCAGCCTCGCTAAATGACGACATCGATATGCGGGACTCACCTACCTATATTGACAAGAGCTCTCGTAAACCACGCATACTGGCTTGTAGGGACGTACAAAATATACATCCAGTAGACTGCGTAGCGGAGTCTATTCGCCTCATGCTAATGTTTCAGTTACACAGAGTGGATCCCAATATATGCGGCAGGACCCGACTACCGAATACGGAAAGTCAATTGGCGTGATCGCAACCACACGAACGACTTTCGATACTCTCAGAAGCTCGTATCGCACGCCGATACGGTGGATATACCGCCCACGGTGGCTTGCATTAAGGGAAGGATTCGTGTAACGTGTATTCTAGTTCGCTAGTACAAACAAGAACAAATAGAGTGCGCCTTTAACTTAGACTATAGTCTAGTTCTAGTTTATACTAGTCTTTAAGATAGTACTTTAGTATATAGTATAATTATAATAGCTTTAATATTATTTACTAAAGTATTATTTAGTATATTACTATAGTACTATAGTTATTAGTAAAGCTAATAATTTAAAGAAATACTATTAGTTACTAAAAAATACTAGTAACTATTAAATAATAGAGTTAGTTAAATACTAGATATATAATATTAAACTATAATTAGATATATTATTTTAAAAAGACTAGAGATAAATTACTACTAAGCTATAATAGTAATTCTAAAGTATTTATACTTATAGCTAAGTTAGCCTAGGCCTTTATAAGCTAAAGTTTAATATTATTTTTTTTCTTAGAGTAGATTACTTTTAATCTAACTCTAAGTATATATAATAAATAGAAGAGAGTAAGTAAAGCTTAGAATAGACTATTCTAGTCTATAATAGCCTATACTAAGTATTTATAAGTATAATACGCTTATAGAAAGTAGAAATCTTAGTAGAAAAATTTAGTAATCTAGAAAATTATAAAATTGCGTATAAATATATTTTTCTACGCTAGTAATACTAGCGTAAAGCTATATATCTAGACTATTTCTAGCTAGTTAGATTTCTTTTTTCTATTCTCTACTTCTTAATTACTTTATAATAGTAAGTATTAGCTCTTTTTATTTATTATTTCTAAAATTCTAAAAAGGTTTAAAGTAATCTATTATAGCTTATTTTAGAGTATAATAAAGTAGTTTAGTCTAAATTAAAAGTTTCTAGCGTAAATTATACTAAATTACTACTAACTAGCCTCTAGTACTCTAACTAAGACTATTATAAGAGTTATATAAAGATTAGATAATAATATTATATTAAATTATAATGTTATTATAGTAAGGCTTAGAAGAAGTACTTAGAGGTAGAATATATATATATAGACTATTAGCCTAAGGTAGACCTAACGCCTAAGAAACTAAACTATTATATATTCTTTTCTAAAAGCGCTTAAAGTTCTAACTAAGTATTAAGAATATTAAAATAGAATTCTATAGGTCTAGCTATATCTTCTAAGAAGAACCTAGACTATATACTCTAACTAAGAAGTAAGATATAATATAATACTATTATAAGGCGTATAAGTAATAGAGAAATAAAAAGAAATAAAGGTTATAAAGTTAATAAGAGGTATAGAGGTAGTATATATTCTTATATAAGATAGAGGTCTTAAGTAGAGTAGAGTCTAGAAGTAAAGTAGAGTCTAGAAGTAGAGTAAAGTATAAGAGTTATATAGAGATTAGATAATAATATTATATTAAATTATAATATTATTATAGTAAAGCTTAAAAAAAGCACTTAGAGGTAAATATATATAGTGTAGACTATTAGTCTAAAGTAGGCCTAACGCTTAAGAAACTAAACTATTATACGTTCTCTAGTAAAAAACACTTAAAGTTCTAACTAAGTAGATAAAATAAAAAAGATATTATCTATCTTCTTATATAAGGCTATTAATAGATAACTTAAGGTCTAAGAGCTAAGATAAGTAGATATAAGAGTTAATATAAAAAGCTAATAAGAAGGTAATAGAACTAATAGTAGTAATAGCGTTATAGATTTTTTAATATACTAGAGTACTTTAAAGAACTCTATATTAAGTAGAAGTTTATAGTATTAAGTAGAGTAATAAGTTACCTTAGAGCTACTATTACCTATAAAGATTAAAGTTAGATAGAGATATATATTATAATTACTTTAATAGGTAGAAGTAATATAGTTAAGTAAATTTATAAA